CATCAGTACCGGGGCAGCATCAGTACCAGGGGCAGCACCAGTACCAGGGGCAGCACCACCAGGGGCAGCACCAGTACCAGGGGCAGCACCAGTACAAGGGGCAGCGCAGTACAAGGGGCAGCATCAGTACCAGGGGCAGCACCAGTACCGGGGCAGCACCACTACCAGGGCAGCACCACTACCAGGGGCAGCACCAGTACCAGGGGCAGCACCAGTACCAGGGGCAGCACCACTACCGGGGCAGCACACTACCAGGCGGCACCCAGTACCAGGGGCAGTACCAGTACCAGGGGCAGCTCAGTACTAGGTGCGGAACTAGTACCGGGAGAAGCACCAGTACCAGGGACAGCACCAGAACCAGGGCACCCAGAGGTGCGGAACTAATACCGGGGAAGCACCAGTACCAGGGACAGCACCAATACCAGGGTCAGGAACTTGTACCGGGGAAGCACCAGTGCCAGGGACAGCACCAGTACTAGGTGCAGCATCAGTACCAGGGACAGCAATTGCAGGGCGGCACCAGTACCAGGGCAGCACCAGTACCAGGGCAGCACCAGTACTAGGGGCAGCATCAGTACCAGGGCAGCAGTACCAGGGACAGCACCAGTACCAGGAGCAGCATCAGTACCAGGGGAAGCACCAGTACCAGGGGCAGCACCAGTACCAGGGCAGCACCAGTACCAGGGCAGCACCAGTACTAGGGGCAGCATCAGTACCAGGGGCAGCACCAGTACCAGGGACAGCACCAGTACCAAGGGCAGCACCAGTACCAGGGACAGCACCAGTACCAGGGGCAGCACCAGTACCAGGGCAGCACCAGTACCAAGGGCAGCACCAGTACCAGGGACAGCACCAGTACCAGGGGCAGCACCAGTTACCGGGACAGCACCAGTACTGGGTGCAGCATCAGTACCAGGGGCAGCACCAGTACCAGGGGCAGCACCAGTACCAAGGGGCAGCACCAGTTACCAGGGGCAGCACCAGTACTAGGGGCAGCATCGAGTACCAGGGGCAGCACCAGTACCAGGGACAGCACCAGTACCAGGAGCAGCATCAGTACAGGGGACAGCACCAGTACCAGGGACAGCACCAGTACCAGGGACAACCAGTACCAGGGACAGCACCAGTACCAGGAGCAGCACCAGTACCAGGAGCAGAATCAGTACCAGGGCAGCACCAGTACCAGGGACAGCACCAGTACCAGCATCGTACCAGGGACAGCATCAGTACCGGAACCTCAGGACAGCACCAGTACAAGGGACAGCACCAGTACCAGCATCAGTACCAGGGACAGCATCGGTACCAGCATCGTACCAGGGACAGCACCAGTACCAGGGACAGCACCAGTGCCAGCATCAGTACGGGGACAGCACCAGTACCAGGGACAGCACCAGTACCAGGGACAGCATCAGTACCAGGGACAGCACCAGTACCAGGGACAGCACCAGTCAAGGACCACCAGTACCAGCATCAGTACCAGGGACAGCATCAGTACCAGCATCAGTACCAGGGACAGCACCAGTACCAGGGACAGCACCAGTACCAGCACCAGTACCAGGGCAGCACCAGTACCAGGGACAGCACCAGTACCAGCATCAGTACCAGGGACAGCATCAGTACCAGGGACACCAGTACGGGACAGCACCAGTACAATGGACAGCACCAGTACCAGCATCAGTACCAGGGACAGCATCAGTACCAGCATCAGTACCAGGGACAGCACCAGTACCAGGGACAGCACCAGTACCAGCATCAGTACCAGGGACAGCACCAGTACAGGGCAGCACCAGTACCAGCATCAGTACCAGGGACAGCATCAGTACCAGGGACAGCACCAGTACCAGGGACAGCATCAGTACCAGGGACAACCAGTACCAGGGACAGCACCAGTACCAGGACAGCACCAGTACCAGGAGCAGCACCAGTACCAGGGCAGAATCAGTACCAGGGGCAGCACCAGTACCAGGGCAGCACCAGTACCAGCATCAGTACCAGGGACAGCATCAGTACCAGGGACAGCACCAGTACCAGGGACAGCACCAGTACAAGGGACAGCACCAGTACCAGCATCAGTACCAGGGACAGCATCAGTACCAGCATCAGTAGGGGACAGCACCAGTACCAGGGGAACAGTACCAGCATCAGTACCAGGGACAGCAAGTACCAGGGACAGCACCAGTGCCAGCATCAGTACCAGGGACAGCATCGAGTACCGGGGACAGCACCAGTACCAGGGACAGCATCAGTACCAGGGACAGCACCAGTACCAGGGACAGCACCAGTACCAGGGACAGCACAGTACCAGGGACAGCATCAGTACCAGGGACAGCATCGGTACCAGGGACAGCACCAGTACCAGGGACAGCATCAGTACCAGGGACACCAGTACCAGGGACAGCACCAGTACCAGCATCAGTACCGGGACAGCACCAGTACCAGGGACAGCACCAGTACCAGCATCAGTACCAGGGACAGCATCAGTACCAGCATCAGTACCAGGGACAGCACCAGTACCAGGGACAGCACCAGTACCAGGGACAGCACAGTACCAGGGACAGCACCAGTACTAGGGGCAGCACCAGTTCCAGGGACAGCACCAGTACCAGGGGACAGCATCAGTACCAGGACAGCACCAGTACCAGGGACAGCACCAGTACCAGGGACAGCACCAGTACCAGGGACATCAGTACCAGGGACAGCACCAGTACCAGGGACAGCACCAGTACCAGCATCAGTACCAGGACAGCACCAGTACCAGGGAGCACCAGTACCAGCGCGTAGTACCAGGGACAGCATCAGTACCAGGGACAGCACCAGTACCAGGGACAGCACCAGTACCAGGGACGCACAGTACCAGGGACAGCACCAGTACTAGGGGCAGCACCAGTACCAGGGACAGCATCAGTACCAGGGACAGCACCAGTACCAGGGACAGCACCAGTACCGGGACAGCACCAGTACCAGGGACAGCATCAGTACCAGGGACAGCACCAGTACCGGGACAGCACCAGTACCAGGGACAGCATCAGTACCAGGGACATCAGTACCAGGGACAGCACCAGTACCAGGGACAGCATCAGTACCAGGGACAGCACCAGTACCAGGGACAGCACCAGGACCAGCATCAGTACCAGGACAGCACCAGTACCGGGACAGCACCAGTACCAGCATCAGTACCAGGACAGCATCGTACCAGCATCAGTACCAGGACAGCACCAGTACCAGGGACAGCACCAGTACCAGGGACAGCACCAGTACCAGGGACAGCACCAGTACTAGGGCAGCACCAGTACCAGGGACAGCATCAGTACCAGGCAGCACCAGTACCAGATCAGTACCAGGGACAGCATCAGTACCAGGGACAGCATCAGTACCAGCATCAGTACCAGGGACAGCACCAGTACCAGGAGAGCACCAGTACAAGGACAGCACCAGTACCAGCATCAGTACCAGGGACAGCATCAGTACCAGGGACAGCACCAGTACCAGGACAGCACAGTACCAGGACAGCACCAGTACCAGGACAGCACCAGTACCAGGGACAGCATCAGTACCAGGGACAGCACCAGTACCAGGGGCAGCATCAGTACCAGGGGCAGCACCAGTACCAGGACAGCACCAGTACAGGGACAGCACCGGTACCAGCATCAGTACCAGGACAGCACCAGTACCAGGACAGCACCAGTACCAGGAGCAGCATCAGTACCAGGACAGCACCAGTACCAGGGACAGCACCAGTACCAGCATCATACCAGGGCAGCACCAGTACAAGGGCAGCATCAGTACCAGGGCAGCACCAGTACCAGGGGCAGCACCAGCAAGGGACAGCACCAGTACCAGGGCAGCACCAGTACCAGGGCAGCACCAGTACCAGGGGCAGCACCAGTACCAGGGCAGCACCAGTACCAGGGGCAGCACCAGTACAGGGGCAGCACCAGTAACAGGGACAGCACCAGTACCAGGGCAGCATCTGCCAGGGACAGCACCAGTACCAGGGACAGCACCAGTACCAGGAGCAGCACCAGTACCAGGAGCAGAATCAGTACCAGGGGCAGCACCAGTACCAGGACAGCACCAGTACCAGGAGCAGCATCAGTACCAGGGACAGCACCAGTACCAGGACAGCACCAGTACCAGCATCAGTACCAGGGACAGCACCAGTACAGGGACAGCACCAGTACCAGCATCAGTACCAGGGACAGCACCAGTACAAGGACAGCACCAGTACCAGCATCAGTACCAGGGACAGCACCAGTACCAGGACAGCACCAGTACCAGCATCAGTACCAGGGACAGCATCAGTACCAGGGACAGCACCAGCAGTACCAGGACAGCACCAGTACAAGGGACAGCACCAGTACCAGCATCAGTACCAGGGACAGCATCAGTACCAGGGACAGCACCAGTACCAGGGACGCACCAGTACCAGGGACAGCACCAGTACCAGACAGCACCAGTACCAGGGACAGCATCAGTACCAGGACAGCACCAGTACCAGGGGCAGCACCAGTAACAGGGACAGCACCAGTACCAGGGGCAGCACCAGTAACAGGACAGCACCAGTACCAGGGCAGCACCAGTACCAGGGGCAGCACCAGTAACAGGACAGCACCTGTGCACCAGCAGCACTCAGTACCAGGGGCAGCACCAGTACCAGGGCAGCACCAGTAACAGGACAGCACCAGTACCAGGGCAGCACCAGTAACAGGGGCAGCACCAGTACCAGGGGCAGCACCAGTACCAGGCAGCACCAGTACCAGGGGCAGCACCAGTACCAGGGGCAGCACCAGTAACAGGGACAGCACCACCAGGGCAGCACCAGTACCAGGGCAGCACCAGTACCAGGGGCAGCACCAGTACCAGGGCAGCACCAGTACCAGGGGCAGCACCAGTACCAGGGGCAGCACCAGTAACAGGGACAGCACCAGTACCAGGGCAGCACAAGTACCAGGGCAGCACCAGTGCCATACACACTATCAGTACCTGGGACAGCACCAGTAATGAGTGGCACCAGTACCAGGGGCACCAGTACCAGGGGCAGCACCAGTACCCGGGACAACACTAATACCAGGGACACGTCAATGCCAGGGGCAGCACCAGTACCAGTGGCAGCACCAGTACCAGGGAGCAGATCAGTACCAGCGGCAGCACCAGTACCAGGGACAGCACCAGTACCAGGACAGCACCATTACCAGGGTCATCACCAGTACCAGGGGAAGCAACGCATCACAGGGGTATCACCAGACCAGGGGCAGCACTACCTGGGGCATCACCAGTACCAGGGGAAGCACCAGTACCAGGGGCAGCACCATTACCAGGGTCATCACCAGTACCAGGGCAGCACCAGTACCAGGGAAGACCAGCCCAGGAGCAGCACCGTACAGGGACAGCACCAGTACCAGCATCAGTACCAGGGACAGCAACAGGGACAGCACCAGTACCAGGGACAGCACCAGTACCAGGGACAGCACCAGTACCAGGACAGCACCAGTACCAGGGACAGCATCAGTACCAGGGACAGCACCAGTACCAGGGGCAACAGTAACAGGAGCACCAGTACCAGGGCAGCACCAGTAACAGGGCACAGCACCAGTACCAGGGGCAGCACCAGTACCAGGGCAGCACCAGTAACAGGGACACAGCACCAGTACCAGGGGCAGCACTAGTACCAAGGGCAGCACCAGTACCAGGGCAGCACCAGTAACAGGGACAGCACTAGGCACCAGGGGCAACAGTAACAGGGCAGCACCAGTACCAGGGCAGCACCAGTGCAAAGGGCAGCACACAGTACAGGGGCAGCACCAGTACAGGGCAGCACCAGTAACAGGGACAGCACCAGTACCAGGGCAGCACCAGTACCAGGGCAGCACCAGTACCAGGGCAGCACCAGTACCAGGGGCAGCACCAGTACCAGGCAGCACCAGTACCAGGGGCACCAGTACAGGGACAAGCACCAGTACCAGGGGCAGCACAAGTACCAGGGGCAGCACCAGTGCCATACACACTATCAGTACCTGGGACAGCACCAGTACGAGTGGCAGCACCAGTACCAGGGCACCAGTACCAGGGGCAGCACCAGTACCCGGGACAACACTAGTACCAGGACACTAGCAATGCCAGGGCAGCACCAGTACCAGTGGCAGCACCAGTACCAGGGGCAGCATCAGTACCCAGGGCAGCACCAGTACCAGGGACAGCACCAGTACCAGGGACAGCACCATTACCAGGGCTCATCACCAGTACCAGGGAAGCACCAGTACCAGGGGTATCACCAGGACCAGGGGAAGCACCAATACCTGGGGCATCACCAGTACCAGGGAAGCACCAGTACCAGGGGCAGCACCATTACCAGGGTCATCACCAGTACCAGGGCAGCACCAGTACCAGGGGGAAGACCTGTACCAGGAGCAGCACCAGTACCAGACACAATATCAGTACCTGGGACAGCACCATACCTAGGGTCATCACCAGTACCAGGGGAAGCACCAGTACCAGGGACAGCACCAGTACCAGGGTCATCACAGTACCAGGGGCAGCATCAGTACCAGGGCAGCACCAGTACCAGGGACAGCACCAGTACCAGGGACAGCACCATTACCAGGGTCATCACCAGTGGGAAGCACCAGTACCAGGGTATCACCAGGACCAGGGGCGCGGGGCATCACCAGTACCAGGGAAGCACCAGTACCAGGGGCAGCACCATTACCAGAGTCATCACCAGTACCAGGGGCAGCACCAGTACCAGGGGAAGCACCAGTACCAAACACAATATCAGTACCTGGGACACCATTACCAGGGGTCATCACCAGTACCAGGGAAGCACCAGTACCAGGGGCAGCACCATTACCAGGGTCATCACCAGTACCAGGGGCAGCACCAGTACCAGGGGAAGGAACAGTACCAGGGCAGCACCAGTACCAGACACAATATCAGTACCTGGGACAGCACCATTACCAGGGTCATCACCAGTACCAGGGAAGCAACAGTACCAGGGAACCAGTACCAGACACAATATCAGTACCTGGGAGCACCATTACCAGGGTCATCACCAGTACCAGGGAAGTACCAGGGGCAGCACCATTACCAGGTCATCACCAGTACCAGGGAGCACCAGTACCAGGGAAGGAACAGTACCAGGAGCAGCACCAGTACCAGACACAATATCAGTACCTGGGACAGCACCATTACCAGGGTCATCACCAGTACCAGGGAAGCACCAGTACCAGGGGCAGCACCATTACCAGGGTCATCACCAGTACCAGGGCAGCACCAGTACCAGAGCAACAGTACCAGGAGCAGCACCAGTACCGGGAAGCACCAGTACGGGGCAGCACCAGTACCAGGGGCAGCACCAGTACCAGGGGCAGCACCAATACCAGGGGCAGCACCAGTACCAGGGACAGCATCAGTACCAGGGGAAGCACCAATACCAGGGACACCACCAGTACCAGGGACAGCATCAGTACCAGGGGTATCACCAGTACCAGGGGCATCACCAGTACCAGGGGTATCACCAGGACCAGGGGCAGCACCAGTACCTGGGGCATCACCAGTACCAGGGGCAGCACCAGTACCAGGGGCATCACCAGTACCAGGGGCAGCACCAGGACCAGGGGCAGCACCAGTACCTGGGGCATGACCAGTACCTGGGGCATGACCAGTGCCAGGGGCAGTACCAGGGGCAGCACCAGTACCAGCAGGCAGCCAGGAAAGGAGCAACGCATCATAGTCTCTACATGATGGTATTAAGAAACAAAAACACAGCGGGTAGCGGCAACACTCGGCTCTTGTAGGTTGAGGAACTAACACAACACTACTGGTGTATAACAAGCGAGATCACGCCTGATGATGACACCTTGTTTTCTTCGGAGTCAGTTAATTGGTTATACTTATTACATTTTAACATGTATTCATGGATAAACTACTGATTAATAAAAATATTTACCGATTACTGTTTATGTAATAGAATGACAGATAATTAAATAAATCTAAACCAAATTCTAAAATACTGTGTATAATATAAATTACTTGTTTGTGATGCGTTAAGGTTACTGTATTATCCCGGGACACTCAGAACCAGTGATGAAGTATTATAATATTAGTTACTTCATGTGAGAGGTTTCTTTACTTGCTGTAGTGAAGGACGACACACGCTGTCACCTGTGATATATCAAGTGAAGGTAACATGTAAATATTCTGCTGTCCAGCGAAAAAACCATCTACAGAACAAATTATAACACTGTATGTTCTTATATATTTGTGACCAGATGTTGTGTTTTATGAGGCACCAGTGAGGACTGACTCTGTTGCCCCACACCACAACAGTGAGGACTGACTCTGTTGTCCCACACCACAACAGTGAGGACTGACTCTGTTGTCCCACACCACACAGTGGGGACTGACTCTGTTGTCCCACACCACAACAGTGAGGACTGACTCTGTTGCCCCACACCACAACAGTGAGAACTGACTCTGTTGTCCCACACCACAACAGTGAGGACTGACTCTGTTGTCCCACACCACAACAGTGAGGACTGACTCTGTTGTCCCACACCAACACGGAACAATAAATATGGCGAGACAAAATCATACCGAAGCGTCAAATGAAGTTTTCTAAAAAAATTTAAGCATAAGTGGGAGCACCAAGTATATTACCCACACACACATACACACATACACTCATACACACATATACACACATACACTCATACACACATACACATTTGTTATATTTATGATTTTTTGGGAGGAATTTGATTTTTACTATCGTTATCAATTATAATTTTCTCCTTAAAATTATTATTAAAATTATTATTATTATTATATTATTATTATTATTATTATTATTATTATTATTATTATTATTAATGTGGTGTTGCGCCGCAGGTAGGAAGGGCTGAGGTAAGGAAGAGGTGAAGTGAGAAGAGCTGCCTCAGCTTCAACAACCTTCACGCCTACAAAAAGACGAGGAGGAGGAAGATGAGAGGGAGGAGGAAGGAGGGGAAGAGGAAGGAGGCGGGGAGGGAGGCGGGGGAGGGGAGGCGGGGAGGGAGGAGGAAGGAGGCGGGGAGGAGAAAAAGGAAGAAGGCGGGGAGGGAGGAGGAAGGAGGCGGGAAGGAGAAAGGAAGGAGGCGGGAGGCGGGGAGGTGGAGTTAGACGGAGGAGACAGGAAGGCGGGGAGGAGGAGAATGAAGACGGGGAGGCAAGGTGAAGGAAGGAAGGAGGAGGAGGGGAAGGTGGGGAGGCGGGGTGGGTGGGAAGTCTGTAAGATGGGGGAAGGGAGGAGGGAATGAATGAGGGCAAAAGGAGGAGGGATGTGGGGATGGAGGAAGGGTAGGAAGATGTGGAAGAGGAGGAGAGAAGAGGGGGCGGGAGGAGGAGTAGAGAGAAGAGGGTGGAGGAAGAGGAGTTGGTGAGGGATAGAGTGAGGAGAAGGGGAGAAGAGGAGGAGGGAGGAAGAAGAAGGAGGAGGAGGAGAGAAGGAGTAGGGGAAGGAGAATTATTGATGTGGGGAGAGAGGGAAGATGGGTTAGGTACAGAGGAGGGGATGAGAAGAAAAGGTAGAGGAGGAGGAGCAGGAAGAGGAGGAGCAGGAAGAGGAGGAGCAGGAAGAGGAGGAGGAGGAAGAGGAGGAGCAGGAAGAGGAGAGCAGGAAGAGGAGGAGCAGGAAGAGGAGGAGCAGGAAGAGGAGGAGGAGGAAGAGGAGGAGCAGGAAGAGGAGGAGCAGGAAGAGGAGGAGGAGGAAGAGAAGGAGGGAGAAAGAGAGGAGCAGGAAGAGGAGGAGCAGGAAGAGGAGGAGCAGGGAAGAGGAGGAGCAGGAAGAGGGAGGGAGCAGGAAGAGGAGGACAGGAAGAGGAGGAGCAGGAAGTGGAGGAGGGAGGAGGAGATGTTAGAAAGGGAAGGAGGAGGATGCAGAAGTAAGAACGGTAGAGAAAGAGGAGAAGGGGAGAAGTAGAGATAGGGGTGAAGGGAGATAAAAGTAAGTAGGGGAGTGGGAGGGTAGAAGAGGAAGAGAGAGAAGGAGGGGGAGAAAGGTTAGGAGGAAGAGGAGGAGTAAGGGGTAGGTATGTGGAGGGAGGGTAGGGAGGAGGGTTGTGGAGGAGGGGATGTGGAAGGAAGAAGGGGAGGGGGAAGGGCCGGCTGACCTGCCTAACTCGGATGTGGGGTGGGTGGGTGGGGTGGGTGGGTGGGCGGCAGGGTGGGTGGTTGGCGAGTGGGTGGTTGGGTGGTGGTTGGATGGGGGTGGGAGGCGGCCAGAATATTGATCGGCTATGGCCCCAACCCAGCCCCTGACTGCCATGGTTAAGGTCAACCCCACCCCACACCACCAGCCCCGGCCACCCGGCCCCTGGCACCCGACCCCACCCCAGCCTCTGACCCCACCAACCTCCTCTCATCTATCTAACCCCTCTACCATCCCTACAAAATTTTCTCTAACCTCGAACCCCACAACCCCATCACCTCATGTTCCCACAAACTCAACTCAAACCTCACATCCCAGGATCTAACCTCATATCAAAACCCCCAATTCTTCACAATCTTCATAATCAAACAACCAACCTCATCCTCCAACAGTCCTGTCCCAACCTCTCTAGACCACTCCGAGTCCTACCTGTCACAACCTCATCCTCCAACCCCAAGTCCCACCTGTCCCAACCTCTGAGCAACCCCGAGTCCTACCTGTCCCAACCTCTCTAGACAACTGAGTGCCTGTCCCAATCTCTCTAGACCACTGACTCCTACCTGTCCCACAGCCTCATCCTCCAGCCGGTCCTGCGCCTGTCCTAACCTCATCCTCCAACCCCGAGTCCTACCTGTCCCAGCCTCTTGACCACTTGAGTTCTACCTGTCCCAACCTCTCTAGACCACCCCAGGTCCTACCTGTCCCAACCTCTCTGAGCCACTTGAGTCCTACCTGTCCCAACCTCTCTGGACCACCCTCTCATTAATTCTCAACCTAAGCAACTCCTTCAACCACAAGACAACCTGGTCTCACCTCACCTCTCACCTCCTCTTACCTACTACTTACACTCTCAGACCTCTAACTTCACCTCACCTCTCACCTCTCTTCACCCCTCTCTCACCATCTTCCTCTCTCTTACCTTCTTCTTCACCCCATCTCCTTGCATCACTATTTACCCCACTCTCACCATCCTTAACTTCCCTACTCTCATCTCTTACTTCTTACCTCTCACCATCACTAACTTCACCTCACTCTCTCCTCTTACCTTCACTAATACCCCCTCTCACCATACTTCTCTTCCTCCTCTTACCTACTACAACCCACACTCTCACCATCACTAACTTCACCCCACACTCTCACCTCCCCCAGCCTACAAACTGCCTCAGCACCTCCTCCTAACTTCAAAACGTTACCCCAACTCCCCCAAACTACAAACGTCACCCTCAGCACCTCCTCCTAGCAATCACTTAAGCACCTCCCAAACTTCACAAACGTCACCCCACACTCTCAGCATCCTCTGAACTTCCAAACTTCACCCCACCTCTCGGCACCTCCTCCTAACTACAAACGTCACCCCTCAGCAACTCCCCAAACTTCAAACTTCACCCTCTCAGCACCTCCCCTAACTTCAAACCTCACCCCACACTCATCAGCACTCCTCCGAACTACAAACTTCACCCCACACTCTACCTCCTCTAACTTCTGGTCATCCCACACTCTCAGCACCTCCCCCAAACTTCACAAACGTCACCCTCATCACCTCCCCAACTTCAAACTTCACCCCACTCTCTCAGCACCTCCTCTCGAACTTCACTGCTCCTTTATCACACACTTCACAAACGTCACCCCACTCTCTTTTCCTCCCCAAACTTCAAACGTCACCCACCTCTCAGCACCTCCCCCAAACTTCACAAACGTCACCCCACACTCTCAGCACCTCCCCTATTCTGAACCGTCACCCCCTCTCAGCACCTCCCCTACTAACTTCACCCCACACTCTCAGCACCTCAAACTACAAACGTCACCTCTCAGCACCTCCCCCAACTTCACAAACGTCACCCTCTCAGCACCTCCCCTAACTTCCAAGTCACTCTTCCTCTCAGCACCTCCCAAACTTCACAAACGCCCCACACTCTCAGGCACCTCCCAAACTTCACAAACTTCACCCCACACTCTCAGCACCTCCCAAACTTCACAAACGTCACCCCACACTCCCCACCTCCTAACTAAACTTACCCCCTCTCTCAGCACCTCCTCCGAACTACAAACGTCACCCACTCAGCACCTCCCCTATTCTACAAACGTCACCCCACACCTACCTCCTAAACTTCACCTCTCAGCACCTCCTCGAACTACAAACGTCACCCACACTCTCAGCACCTCCCCCTAACTACAAACTACCCCACACTCTCAGCACCTCCCCTAACTACAAACTTCACCCCATGCACCATCCTCTAAACTTCAAATACTTCCACTCTCAGCACCTCTAACTACAAACTACTTACATACTCTCACCTCCTCCTACCTAAACAAAAATACAATTAAATTAAGACACCAAAAAATACAAACACGAAAAAATCAGACAGACACAAATACGAAGACTGTACGAAGGTGTAGATACAAAATCAGGTATAAAAAAAAACAGATAGAAGAATAAGAATAAGAAGAGGAAATATAAAGAATAAAGAATAATAATAAAAAAAGGATAATAAAATATAAGAAAGAATAATAACAAATAATGAAGAATAATGAAGAATAATAATTAAGAAGAAGAAGAAGAAGGTTTCATGATTAAAATATATTAATATTTTATCTCATTGTTTACAGAAA